AGTTCAAAGTGAGGGAGAAGATGATGCTACGGGCTCTCAATCGCTACGGTGTGAACCACGAGGGTTGTACCAAAGGGTGGCTCAACATTCCTCATTCCATGCGCATATTCTATGTCCACGCATATTGCAGCAAAATTTGGAATGAAGCAGCATCGTATAGGCTGAGCACTTACAGTTCAAAGGTTGTGGAGGGCGATCTAGTCATCTCTGAGGAGAGCGAGGAAAGCTTTTCCATGAATGACAAAGTGAGTCTTTACAAAATAGTTCTTGTACCAGATGATTTAATGCATTTTAATACATTAACATAGATCAGACAATATTCTAATGCTTTTATTTTAATTCTTTCATAATAGTTTCTGTTTGCGACTAAAGTGATAAAAGTGATGTAGCTCTCTTTATTTGTGACAAATAGACATAAATACTAGATACATATTAACAGTTCTTATCTATGCTGACCATTCATTTTATTCGTGAGAGGAGAAGGAGCATGGCAGAATTGATATATATGTAGCAAATAGTTTAACCTGCATGTTAGCTGATGCTCCTCCTAGGATCTGAGAGGAGCGAATCCTTCTCTCAGAGTGTCCTGGCCCTGCATTGTCAGTCAGGGCGGGTCTGAGTCCTGCTCTCAAGACTTCCACTATGTACATGAGCAAATGTAAACTCAGGGTGGAAGGGGACCTCAGACACAGCTGCTAATCTCACTGCAGCTGTGCAGTCAGGGCAGACCTAGCACAGATTCAGACTCTCTTCGTAAGTCACTAGAACACATTGATGATGAGCCTAGCAACTGTTTGAAAAACAAGCCCAGCAAAGGGCGTGTTTCCCATAGCACATTATGGATGCTGTGCGTGGAGCTACAGGCAAAGTGAACAAAAGCCTGCAGAGTAGGCTGGGCACAGGCCTCGATGTGCTGAAATCCATCTGAAACCCTCTCCTCTCTGAGAGCCAATGCTGCTTTTGTTTTGTTTTGTTTTTTCACCTTGTGAACAGTTTTCTTTCTCCTGCTCATTAGGTGAAGTACGGAATTTTGCACTGTTCTACTGGAAAGCAGAGAGCTGTGTGCATAAACAGAATGTATCTGTGCATGAACAGAGTGTATCCCAGATTGTTTTGAGGGAACACCTCAAATATTTCTGAGAGCAGGCACGCTTGAAAGGTTACCAAATAACCTTCCAATTCCTATATAGAGTGATTTGTATTTTCGTTGTGGTTTTGCTTCACAAAAGGTTTTGAGTGAATAAACATAAAAAAACAAATAGATCAAATCTAATGAAAAGCAGAACTATGCAGAACTATCTCATTTAGTACTAAGCTATTGAGTTTAATACACATACATTCTTCTTTAACATAAGTGTTCTTATTAGTGTGTTTTCTGTCACTGGTGTAGCGTGAAATTGCATTGGCACAGTTAACTTCCAATGGCCAAGAATATCAATCCATAGTGATAGTTTGCTAATTAACAGTAGCTAACATCAGTAATGATTCAATGGAAGGCCATTTCCATTACCAGTGAAGTGGTTATATCACATTAAGCATCTCTGTTGTTTTTGGTAGCTAAAATAGATTATTTGTCACAGTCAAATAACCTTAGAATCCTTTATTTAAAAGGAGATTCGGGGAGTACAGTGCATCATTCAAAATAAAAATAAAAATGTCTAATAAAAGTGTTTTTTTAATACCTTCTTAAATCTCTGTCAGGTTCATATAGTCACCGCTTCAGAAGAGTCAGCTAACAAGTATTCCATACATCAAGTAAGTTGTCTCTATGAAAAAATCTGAGTTATTGATTTATTTATTTGATGGAAATATTTTGTTTTTAAAATATTGTGATTAACTGGTGCCGTCTTATTTCTTGCCAGAAGGCACATTAAAGTAAACACACATGCGACCTAATCCCCAGTCTCACAACACACAGAAGGAAAGTTATTTACTTTCCAATAGAAATAAACACACTCAGTTTTTCAGTATGTGGGCAGTATTTGTTTTAAAGCAGATTCCTTGAAAACTTTTTTATCTACTTCTGGGAAAAACATTCAGGAATAGTTGATACTCTAATCTATGAAAGTTTAGAGTGTGTTGTGGAGTCTTACAAAGGCAATTTGATTTTTTTAGCTGCTTCTTCCTCAGCAAGCAAGCCAATTTATGTTAGTAGATTCCTAATTTTTTCCTGCAATACTGGTTATTTATTGTGCTTTTCATTTAAATTGCATCCAAGATACCTGCCTTGGACAGCTTTGTTATATAGTGTGCAAGACAAGGTGTCATTTTAGGCCCTAAAACACAAGCATTAAACCCGTAATCACATTTATTTAAAGAGACACTTGTGGCTTTTATTTCAAATATATTTCTTTTTTGTTCCTCTCTTTTCTTCTTTGAAGGTGGTTCTCCCAATGGTGGGACACAGTATCAAGTATCCTAGTAATAAAGTTGGGCAGTGGTACCGTGAAAGGCTTTCTAAGGATGAGCTGCAAAATTGCAAATTCAGGGTGTCTCCATTACAGCTGAATATACCTGGATGCTATAGACCCATTCTGAAAAATGTTCAAAATCTGACATATTTTTTGGAAGACAGTGAAAAAGGACTCAGAATTGAAGGCAACCACCTGAATGAATCAAAGGCATCTCTTCATATATCATTTGACCTCGATCCTTCATGTTATGCAACTGTGTGTCTGAGAGAAATAATGAAATGTGAATTTTAAGATTCCAGATAATGAAATATTGCAGGAATATTATACTAAATATATTTTATGTGCCAACAAAACAGTGCCAACAAAAGGAGAGAGAATCATAGTTTCAAGCCAGAAGAAAAATTAGTGAGATTGAGATTCATGCTGATAAGTAAGAAAAGAACCAAGATCCAGATTCAAAAAAGAAAAAAAAAAAAAAATCCAAACTAAATGTGTCTTGGATGCACTGGCATAAACATTACATAACTACATGTAATGTCAGACTGGCTTAATAAAGTTTGCGTATGAGTTGCAAACATCCATGTTCTGTTTGCATCGTCATCTTTATGGTTGGATTCGATGATCTTGAAGGTCTTTCGCAACCATATTTATTCTGTAATTCTATGATTAAAGCCTAGAAGAATGTTTGCCCCAAACATATTCTTCATTTTCTTACCATGTCCTAAAAACTGATTCATACTTGGTTCTGTTCAAGAACAAGAAGCAACAAGATTCCAAGCCTAGAGCTGCCCATGTGAAACATTGCAGCGCTGAGGAGCGCAGGATCTACCACTGAAGCAGCCGTGACAAGTAACAGGTCCAGGGTTAATTGGTGCCTGACTTTTAGATAGCGCCTGTTCCAATGAGTGCCTCCAGCCTCGGTGTGGGTGTGCAACTTGCATGAATATCAAAGCATTTTTAAATAAATTTGTTTTATTGTTGCCTGGATGCAGACTCTGTTCCTTGTCTTGGAAAGCCTTTGGGTGATGAATTTTTGCTGGAGTCATCCCTAGAAGAAACTTTTGTATATTTTTTAAATTTAAAAAGAAAAATGTATATTTTTTTTTAGCTAATTATATATTTCAGGGAAGAAATGGAAGATAAAGTGGCCTGGTTGCCTCTATGATAAACTAAGCAGATCTGTGGATGCTGTGGTAGCCGTGAATGTCATTTACCTCACCTTTAGCAGGGCTTCTGACCCTGCTACTGACAGTGTTCTTGTACCCGGGCTAGGATGTTACGATCTGGTTGTAAGGACAAGCAGATGGGTGAAACAGGTGGATGGATGGTGGGACTCTGACAGTGGTTGACGGCTCACACTGTGCCTGGGAGCAAGCGGAGCCCGGAGGATATTCCCCGGCTCGGTTCTGCCGGGAGGTAGCGGGATGTGCTATCCTGTGATCCTCACATTTGTTAGTGTCCGTCCCTTGCATCTGATGTTGGTCCCCTGGTGCAAGAAGGGCACTGAAAATCTGGGGCAAGTTCAGCAGAGAGCCAGCGAGCTGCCCGAGGGCTGGAGCACTTGCTCTGGAAGGAGGGCTGCAGGAAAAGAGGCCGGTCAGGGGGATGTATTAGTGACCTGCCAGGACCTGTGGGGAGCTTATCAAGAAAAAGGAGCCAGGTTCTACTGAGTGGTGCACGGCAGGAGCACAAGAGCCAATGGACATAAACTGAAACAGGAGCATTTCAGATTGTAAGGATATCTTTTTGTTCTGTTTTTTTTTTTTTTTTTTTTTTTTTGGCTGTTGTATTTTTTTTTTTCACCTGAGGACAGTCAGGCATTAGAACAGGTTGCCCAGGGAGGTTGTGCAGTCTCCATCCTTGGAGGTTTCCAAGACCCAACTGAATAAAGGCCCGAGCAGCGTGGTCCATGCTCAGGGGTGACCTTGCTTTGAGGTTGTGCTAGAGACCTCCTGGGATCTCTAATTTCAGCCCATGGCCTTAAACTGAGTATTGCAAAGGATTATTCGGTCTGCAGATGGCAGTATGGCTTAGAAGTAGACTGGAAAAGTCTGCTTGATTTTACTGAGGGGAATTAATAATATATATTGAGTTTCGTTTATGGCCTTGGTCTTTCAGTTCTTCCTAGCGGCTGAGCAAGATAAATCTTCCAAGGATGATAAATAGTTTATTTATGCAATTTGTGGAAAAATATAATTCCCCTGCTTCCAGTGCTAGTATAAAACTGTGTACCAGTGAAGGATCTGGATAATTCACTGCTTTAAATAAGAGGATTATTCTGTAAGTCCATAGAAGTAATTCAAAATTTGGCCCTTTGCATTTATATGGGAAAAGGGCCTGTCATGCAAGCAATAGCTACAGGATGTGCTCTGTGACAGTGTTTACACCTCAGGTTTGTGATAGGCATCCAAAATGATTTAAAGTCCATTCTCCTGCCACCTCCCCGTTGAGACTGCTTTGTCCCTGTCTTTGCTTTTCAATATCACCTCTTCTGTTTTGCACCTGCCCTTAGAGGTACCCCCCTAATGGAGAGGAGTTTTTAACCTAAATCTTTTTGGTTCAGCAGAGCCCAAGAAGAGTTGTCCTGTCCCCACGGAAACGGTAACGCACTGTAGTGCACCCAGGAGGCGGCCTGGACCTGCAGAGGCCATCAGCACCGCAGCTCCGCGCCCACAGACTGCTCTGCACTTCTTTAACAGCGTCAGTATCACACACGGCATGTCAATACGTAAAATATCGAAAGCTGAAATACGATTTGAAAAAAATACAAAAGATCACATTCAAAGAGTTTTTTTTTACTGAAAGGCGTGTTGTTTTAAATAAAAGGGATCAGAAGATTGTGTTAACAGGGCTCCTCTATAATCATTTTAGGCTCATTTGTCAGTGCTTCTATTGAGTACTAAAAGGACTAATCTTCTTAAGCAAATCATTCTTTCATCAGCTTTAAGGTGAAAGAGCTAATTATGTACTTCCATGGGTTAAATTCCTGTAATAGAAATGTTCTACTTGGGAAAAATCAAGCCGGCTATTGAAGTGTTTATATGGTAAACATCCTGCTTATTCCAGTGGGTATTTGGGCTGTGTGGCCTTTGTGTGTGTGTATTTTTAATTCATTCTTTTAATCTTGCTATCTATTTTGCAGATTTATGCAAATGTTGAATTTGATGACAGTTGTATGAGCGCAATATTCGGCTCTTGAAGTGTAATCAGTATAAGCAGAGCAGCTGTGCCTGTGCACGGAGAAAGCAGATAATCCCTGTGCCCTGATCTGCCTTTGAGGAGGAAGACTGAGAGGTTGGTCACCCCCCATCTTGCTGTAGGCTTCTCTTGCTACTCCCCCTTTCTGATAAGCCTTAAAGCACTTTGCTAAAGTAGTGAAGGCAGGTCTCTGATTCAGTTTCTGACAAAAGAGGTTTTAAGTTCAGTGGCCTGGTGAATTTTTCAGCATAGATGATAGATAATTGGGCGTTTGAATGGGCGAAATGTTCTTGGTCTGTAAAGTCCTGTTACTTTTAATTTGACTTTACATGTTATACATGTTTACATGTTATACATGTTTACATTACTGTTATACCCAGGTGATGAGTACAGACCTCCTTTCCTTTCTCTTGCAGAACTTCTGCTCATAATAAAATCTCAAGAGATTTTATTATTCCTTTCGCTCATGTGCAACTGGAATAGGAATTGAAGGCCACGTTTTCACTAGCAGCTCGTTTTCCAGCTTGCTGTGCACTTTGCTATGCATGAACACCTGGCAGAGAGTAAAGCAGGGAAGTGCGTATGGTGCTTCCTGCCTTAATGCTCTCAGCCTCCAACTCCAACCTCAACTATTTCCTATGTGGGTTGGCTATGTAGTAACTCAGTGAGTTTCTTTCCCATGCTGGTTTTTTTTTCCAGTCTTCCTAGCAGACATTCAACTTCTTCTCCAAGTCCCATAGCTGCTACCTGTGTGCAGAATCGCCTTTTCTTGGTCTCAAAACTGCCTCCCTGGGGCTCTATTTGATGGCCCTTGGCTGTTGCATTTCAGTGCCGGGAGTGGTGCCCCCCCCGAGCTCTCCTGGCCGCCTCAGCCTCTCCACATCCCGGATCAGCTGCGTCCTGTGGCAGGGCAGCTGCGGCCTCTCCTCCTGCAGCCTCTCCTCCCATACCATCTAGGAAAGGTTACCTCTGTTTCTTACACAGCCTTTTCAAGATGAGGGCTCTAGAGCAGCACACACATCCTTATTAATATCATGGATTTCTACACTGCCATAGTGATGCCTGCTTTGATCCTTATACCTCCCCTAATGGTAATAGTGATTTTTTTTTCTGTATTTTTTTTGGTGCCATCTCCTTCCATGAGCATCAAAGCAATGGTTTGTCAGAACTATCCCGAGATTTTTCCCCAAGTGATGATAGGTCAAAGATTTTGTGTGTGTGTAAAAAGCTGGGATTGGGTTGGTCTGTATGAGGCACTTTGAATCTTGTTGACCATTGTATTTCCATGTCTTTAGTCTCAGAAGGATTTTCTGCAGCTCTTCACTCTCTGCTCTGAGTAAATGAGGAGCGTCCGCAGCCTCTGCCACCTCATCGCTCCAGCATTAGTGCCCAGAGTGAAGCGCTCCAGGGCCTTCCAGCGTAAGCAGTGGCTGCCTGGAGGCACCTGCTGGAGCCCCAGGAGCCAATCCCAGCTCCGTGTTTTTCCTGCAAACCCCCAAGACAGCACTCAGCAGAGCCATGGCACCACTTTCCAGGCACCTCACACTGCCCCAAGTGCCCACTCATCCTATCCTCTCCCACATGTGCCCACCACAGCTGCCCGGGTTAGAAATGAGCACTTTTTTTTATCCTTTTTACACAATATACAATATATACCTATATAATTAAATAGCTTAGATATCCATTATATAATAAAATAACTGCAGAAAGTGCACGTTATAGTTACCAATAATTTGAAGGCATGTTGAAGGTGTAAGAAATTTTGAAGAGAGGGCAGTAGCTTGGAATATTTTGTAGGCACTTAAAGTGCTCATAGGACTTGAAAAGTCTTGATTTGGCTCTGTACTCTGCTCAATTCAAAGCAGAAATCTGAATCCACATTTTGCTACAGCCTGTTACCCACAGTAAGAGTCTGTACAAGTGACTATTAATGAAGGTAGTTACAGCGAATGACTTTTCAATTGAACGCAAGAGCAAAATCTTTTGGAAGTCTGGGTATGGGAGACAAGGAGTCAAGTTCTGATTCACGTAGGAAAGACTATGAACTTGCATGTCGTCGTCCCTGAGTTATCTGGGAACAAGAGACTGACACATCTACAGGCCCATGCTGAGCATTTTGGGTCGTGGTAGTGACAAAGGTGAAAGTCAGTCTCTGATGAGAACCTTGTTTCAGAGTGTCAGGTGTCTGCAATGAGAAAATATTTGTGTGCCCAGCAGCAGCAGTGAGCTAGTGAGGCAATTCAGACTTCTCAAGAACTTTGCATATCCTAAGAATGAAATTTCTGACCGTAGTTACCCTCACAGACCTCCTCATAAAACAGAAATAATACATGGAATTAATCCCAGCACTTCCTATGCAAAGCCGCTTTCTTTTACACCTTGCAAATAATGCTTGTTAAGCAAGGGCTTGCCAAATTTTGAAACGACGTTGCTCAAAAAAACCCTGGAAAAGTGCTGGGCAGAGCTCGTGGTCCCAGCTGGCTCCCTAGCCCCGCTTCCTGGCTGGGCACCAGCTCCTGCCAACAGGGTCAAGGAGACTGTCCTGGTTCACAAGCCACATTTTCACATAGACCAGCTCCTAGGTGTTTTAGCAGCACCTAAAGCAGAGCACTGTCTGTTTATTCTCCATGACTAACAGGTGATATGTGCTAGAAAATTACTGTAAATGAACTCCGCCCTATTTGCTTTTCCTAAAGCAGGGAGGGGGGAATCTTCTCCATCAAAATTCTTCATCTTTATGTTGTTGAGAAAGCCTGTCACACAGAGGGTGAAAAGGCACATTTCAGGGTGAATGCCAGGTTATTTTCTCAGCCACAGCAACTTTTGGAGGGGCTGCTTTGGTGTGAGGGAAGTGTGAGGCAGAAATGATTTCGGAGCCTGGGATTTCGGGAGGCTGCCTCCATGGAGCCTATCGGTAAGATGATCCTCAGGGGAGTATCTGCTGCAGTGGAGGATCATCTGGGAAAGGTAAGGACAGTGGAGAGGTAGGTTTTGCAAAGGAATAATCTCGGGAAAGGGGAAATATGGGAAGAGAAAGCCTACAGGGTCATGAAGAGATAAAGAATTAGATCTCTGTGGGACATGGCCCCATTTAACTCAATATTTCTCTGTACAGGTGCGTCAGTTAGTATCTGACTGATCCTAAATCAGGAGCGTTTATCTCCTGATAGTGGTTGCTGTTATCTTTGCTTGAAAGCAGGCAGATGATTTCTGAAATATCCGTGCTGCTAAAAGCCAGGTTGCAGCAGAGGAATGGAACCAAGGAACCAACAGCCCTGAAAAAAGAGCCATGGGGGCTGCCGCAGGAAATGTGGGATGTGGGCAGCTGTGGAAACTGGATACTTAACGGGCTCGATTGGATGCTGCCTTGCAGTTCAAATAGGCTTTTGCCCCTGCAGCAAAGCAGGGCACAGATGGTGTTTGTAGCTCTTCGGGCACAGGCCTGGTTGGCTGCCCTCCCTTCAGGCTCTGGCGTTTCCAGCTCCTCGGGAACATGGAGAGCCAGGTCTCTTGCTTTATGGCATGTCAGCTTGACTGATGGGAGCCAGTCGAGATACCCCAGGGAATTTATAGCGTGGGGAGTGGGGCTGTCAAGGAAAAGGCTGATGAAAGGGGCAGTTTCCAATGAAAGAGAGCCTCATGGAGCAAACGCATGATTCTAGTCTAGATCACCACAGCAGCAACCTCAGTGTAATTACAGTATTCTTGGCCTCAAATGGTTTTATTTGATGCTGCGCGTTCTATTTTTCCCTGTTTCTTTTCAAAAGAAGCCAAAAATATCTTGGTTGCCTGCCACTGCTGCTTCATAGCTGCTTTTCACTGCTTGCTAATCAGTTAATTGAACAAAAAACGGTTTCACTATCTTTCCCCTTCTCTTCCCCTCACATCATGTATTTTCGTGCTTTCATGTATTTATTTAATGCTGACTCCTCCACTTTCATTTAAAGCCCTTCCTCTCTGCATGGGGAGAGGTGCCTTCACAGGAGACAGCAACAGGCTCTTGCCCTGCTTGGCTGAAGATGCCACGTTTAAGGACGCCACTGCAGCTTTGAGCTCAGCCCTTCAACCCTGGGGAGCTTTCCAGCATTGGGAATGTTTCCAGTGTCAGGCTGAGCAAGGGGAGACCAAGTTGCTCCCAGAACGTGTCCTGCTCACATTTACACAACAAAGACTTTGAGATATAAGAAAAATGCTCTTGCAGAGGACAGGCAAAAGCAGCTGGCCTAGCGCTGGTACCTGCTTTTCCTCTTAGGATCTTTTGATGCCAGTTCTGTTCAGGAACTGGGAGGTGATTTGTCGCCTTCAAAAGGCACTTTTGCCTTTAGTGCCTCCCTTTTTAACAGAGCAAACAGATAAAGTGGTTTTCCTGTAATGACGTGAAAAAAGGGACCTCTGTACATAGTATAAAATATTCTAACAAATTAAAACATGAGAATAAGATGAATGTGATGTTTTTTAAGGCTTGCAAGCTTCTCTCTTTTGCCCCATGTATGAATGCAATGCAGATGAGGAAGGTAAACCCTTGCTGAGAAAGTGAGAAAACTGTGTTTTAAGCTTTGGCCTCTTATGCTACCACAGGGAAAGAACTGTGAAAATGTTATAAGGAAGCCCTTTCTCTTGTGGCAGGCATTCTTCACTTTTAACAGGACTCTCTTCTAATGTTAGGATGTTGGGAAAGGATCGTTGGAGAAAATAGATTAATGTGTCTCCTCTGCCAGAACTTCAGCTGTCTTCCAGAACAACGGCATTTACTGGCCCCTTTCATGTCTTCCTCTGTGATACACAAGTAATTTGCTGTGTCTTCTAGCATTCCTATTTTCAAACAGTCAAATTATGCAGGTGCAACAGCTCATAGCTCAGTTTTTTATCAGCTTAATTGCCCATCTGAGATAAAAACATCACAAGAAATGTGAGTCTTGGATTTAAATTGCTTTTAGGCATTAAGCAGGAGATTCCCAGACTGTCACATTTTTTAAAAGCGTGTAAAGAGTAAAACAATGTGTTGTGCTGAGGTTGCTGATGAAAGACCACCATGTGGCTGGATAGGAATGCTGAAGGAAAATCAGAGCCAGCCAGCCAAATTCACTGCAAGAATGTGTGTGGGAAGGGCATGTGATTTTGCACGCCACAGTTTCTAACTACAGAAGCTACAGGAGAGCCCCATATGGACATAAAATGCAGTGAAACAAGGTGATCAGTCCAAAGAATTGCTGCTTTCCAGGGGCCATGCATGGAGAAGAAACTGTGACATTAGCAAAGTGTCACTCACTTGTTTTCTGTGCTGTAGGAAGAACGTGGACACATGCTCGCTATGAAATAGTTTGATATGTGTTCCTCATTTCTAAAACATCGGATTGATAAAATTCATATGACTCCAGCTGCAGTGAAGACAGCACTTACAGGCACACAGGCGCATGCCTGCCGCAGGGAAGCTCTCGGCGCCCTGTCTGGTTCCCCAGGATGTCTGGGGGAGTCAGACAGGCTCTTCCAGGGCTCTCTGCTGTCTCCTCCATGGCCAGATCTCTGTGTTGGATCCCCACATTCGTTTGGGGGTGCTTATCTTAACTGCATGCACACTGTTGCTGTACGGCAGCAGGACAGTTTGCATGATGCTGGCTGATAGGAATCAGAATGAGTACACAATTAATTGCATTTTTAAATTATTTTTTCTCCATTTTTATGGTTTAACTGCATATTTAAAACCCGGGTTACTTAGAGGAGGAAAATAAAAACACATACGTATATTAATAGACCCTGAAATGAAATTATGAAATAAAATACGCTGTTTTGTGGGGTTCATAACTAGCACAAAATACAGCTCCGTTCTGCTAATGTTTCCTCTATACCAGTTAACATGCACAATGTAGTTACTTTTAAAGATGGTTCTCTTTAATAGATAGTCGGAGAATCTGTAAAAGTCTATTTTAAGGAACCTTAGATATAGTAGAATTTAAAGGATGTTCCCAGGGCAACAAACTATAAGGAATATGGAGTAATTAAAGACCAAATGGTGAATTTACTTTAAAAACTGAAGTGTTTCTCATTTTTCAGAAGTGTCCGAAGAAAGTCAGGCCTACCTGGAAGCCTTACCCAAATCCAGATCCAGAGAATTCCCCAAGGGGAAGGTTTGGATATTCTAGATGTTCTAGAGTGGAACCAAGCTCTTCTCTCGCATTTGATTCATGTGGATCAGGAGCACATGGAGCCAAGCACACTAACAGCTTCACCTCACAGCAGAGAGAGATGAGAGAGCCCAAGAATGGCTTTTTCTGAACAATATTAATGTTCTGAGCCTGGCTGCGACACTGACCACAGTCAATAACGTGGGCAAACTAAGCAAGGCTTTCCCAGCCTTAAGCGTGCCCTTGAATTTTTTATGTATGTAGGGAGATTATGTGTACACTTTGCATTATTAGGTTGCATAGTTTGCCATTCCACATTAGAGGATTTGGGGTTTCTTTGTGTGTTTTTCTAAAGAGCCTAGGAAATTACTGCCTCCAAACTGCATTAAAAGAACATTATGGTTGCAAGAAAAAAATAGTCAAAACTAAGGTTTCCTTTGCAAATCTAATAGAATCTTCTGTGTCATTGTTATTATACAGTCCATTATCAATTATTTTTCCCACAGGAAACTGTGAAAGATGGATAGAGTTTTGATGAAGACTAAGAACTGCACGGTGAAAGAGGCCTTGTCTTGTGATCTTGATCTATGATGTAGAGTACTGAAGAGAAAGAAAAACTGGTCGTTTGTTTTGGGCAAATGAATATAGAATTGTAAAATGTGGAACTATAGCAGCTGAATGCTGTGGGACTACATTCTGTCTTTGCCTCTAGCACAGAATTCCTGTGTAATATTTGTCAAGACATTTACCCACAGAGCTTATACAAATGTTCCCTTGCTTTTAAAGGCACTTTTTTGAGACCATGGGATCTGATCTGTGGTGAACTGAACTTGAAAGTAATGATCCCTGGACTTTTGTTATTGTGAGTATGAAACTGTGGGTGCCACCTTGGGCACTCAAAGTTGATGTAGGATTTTTTATTTAATCCAATTGGGAGATGAGCAATTTCCCAACTTTATATTTTTTTCTCTGAAAAATTGCTTGGTGTTTGTGAGGCACACATGGTGCTGTAATGTAATGAAATGCCCTTGAGAAACTCAATAAATCTCCTCAGAGCAGGGTTTGAAGTCTTCTCCAGAGTCTAGAGCTGTGCATTGAATACTGGGTGCTGAAGACCATTTTGAATAACTGCTTGTGTGGAATCACAGCGTGAAGAGATATTATTAAAGTTATTTCCTAATGCGGTGTCACAGGAGCATTTATTAGCATTTTCTAACTTTATGCATTTGACTACAGAACCGTAACATTTCTGATGCAGTTCCTGCTGTATAGGATTCTTTTACAGTGCCTTTGATAGTCACTTTGCTTTAACAAATGTGTTTAACCAATGGATCCTGAATATTACAGTCCTTTTCAGTAGTAGTCCCAAAGCCATAATTTATTTTGATTGAACGGGCATTAAGAGTCAAACTGTTATTCAGATGTAGACTGAGCAGCTGATATAATTATCATTGACACTGGCATAAGGATCACATTTCCCAACCAAAGGTGATGGGCCTGACTACTGTGATGTAGGCCTTAGTTTGCAGTTTAATTTGCCGGGATGCACAGTCATTATCTTAGAAAAAGAAAAAAAAAAGCAGTCGTACGGTGATGGCTTTCATCTGCTGCCATTTTAGGTGCAAATCCAAACTAATAGTCTGAAATTTCTGCATTTTTCCACTGGTCACTAATTTTGTAGCCACCTGCAGTAACTGTTCAGATTAATTACAAGAGATAATTGAATGAAAGTGACTGACAGAAGCAATTGGAGTTAAATGCAGTTTTCTATAGGTGAAAATACTCTGTCCTTGCTCTTTTGATCCAAATTGTGGCTTTGTCAAGCAGAAGCTGATTCATGAAAATGAGGACACTTGATTTAATGGAATTATAAGATGAAATAGCAGATGAAAAAACCCCTGTCATTACGAAAACAATGACACCCCTTGTATTTACACTACAGCTGTCTAAATCTTCAAATAGAGGTATTAGCTGAGATCAAAGATATTCATACAGATGAAAAGGGAAGGCCAAAACTCCAAGTAATAAACCAGGTAACTACACACTGACAGCACAATGATCTGCACACACCGACAGCACAATGATTTTAATTTAAATCAGTAATGACATTGGTGTCTTATTTCTGAGGGCTATAGCACCTCTCATTTAAAAGGATTTTCCAAAATATCCAGAAAGGAATCATTTCAAGTGGCTGAACCACAGCAGCGCTGGTGCCAGGTGATAATACTGCCTGCAGCAGAGTATTAGGTTGCCCTGCTGTGGTCTTCTTTGAAACCCTGCCAGGTTCTCCTCTGAGAAACAGAAAGAATGAACAGCAGTGAATGCTCTGGACCATGGGTTAGCAGGTCCAGGTTCCCAAGTACTGCTCCTGTGTCCCTTGGCAGCTCTACTAAGTACTTCTTGGAGCCTAGCATTAGACTTTTAGTGCCTATGTTTCCTTCTCATCTTCAAGAGGTGATAGAAAATCTGTTTTCTTCATGGAAAGACAAGGTAAAATATAGGATCAGTGTAAAAACAATTCATTGATCATTAAAAAGAGCTTTTTGGCCCTCTGGTTTGCCTAAGGTGTTCACTTTGCAGAGGAAAGTTGAATGAAAATATCAGTCATCCATCAAGAGAAAGAAAAATGAAAGGCACAAAATATTAAATAACAGCATGAGAGTCAACACTTATTATAGTCAGCACCCTAGTTTCTATGCAGCTACAGCTGCCAGAGAACGCTGCAGCTCACTGAAGGACAAGAAAATGGTGATCAGCTAAGCAAGTCCCTCTTTCCAAAGCAAATGGTTCTGTAAGCCATGTATCTGCATATATGGGTCTCAGAAGATGAGGTACGCACTTGATAACTTGTTGACTGCTGCTCAACAAATCACTTATTAGATTTATATAGATTATTATTATATTATAATAATATAATAAATAATATAATAATGTAGTTATAGATTAATAACGTATGTTATTAGATACTCCTACGCAAGTCCACATGCAGTGACTGAGCAGAAAAGAGCACCTCAATCCAGCCAAGTCTAAGCACACAGGAAAGGCAGAAGTTGGAGGTGTTTCAAACATCTGTCTCTTTTGGTACTTTGGTGTCTAGGATATAAAATTCTGGGAATTTGTAGTCTATATAGCTTCTGTTGTCAAGCATTTCCATGGTTTCTTCTAAACTCATAGGCCAGCTGTACCCATCTTTGAAAATGCAGTCACAGAAAACAAACCCAAATGACGTGGCACATTCGTTCTCCTCAGCTTGAGAGCATTCAAACCTTGGTTTCCCATCTCTTAAATTACATCTCATTATGTCTAAATTAAATCTCTATTTTTTTGAAGCAGGGGCGTTCTGCAAATTAAGCAATCACAAAACATTGTAGTGACATTCTTCATCTATTGATGAAGTAAGATTGAGCACAGTTCTCTTGCTCCATGACGAGAGATTCCACTGGAAGAGAGGACACCTGCTGTAAAGATTGCTTATGCATTTCACTCAGAGATTATTTAATTAAAAATATTATTTTATTATTGTTAGTGTGGGAAAAAGAACAAGAGGATGGGAACTATCAGGATAAGAACAAGTCCTGATCTGGTGACTTGGTTAGTTGCAATGATGGGAACAGACAATTTTATCATCTGAGAAGATTAAAAGGGGACGAAGTAATGCAAAAGGAAACTTGGAAGTAAATTTAGGAATAAAAAACAAATCATCATCTGGTCAGAAAGATGTTAGAAGTCAGTTTTCTTTGGCATTTACTTGATGTGAACCCATTATTATATGGAGGGAGTAGGCGTGGGTTAAGGGCTAGTAAACTGTATTCCCATATAGAAGTAAAATGAGATAATAGGGATGGAATAGTACAAATTTTTATTGTCAGGGAAAAGCCTTTTTTATGTCAATAGTGATAATAGGAACAAGACTGGTACCCCATTATTGGTAGGATTATTATTCTTAAGTGAAGTAGTGAGCTTTCAGTGCATGACAGTCAGCTTATACCAGGGCGCTCTGCCAAAACCTCAGCACCCTTTGAGCCTGGATTCACCCCAAATCAAGGACACGGTTTTACAGAAGCTCTTCTGGAGCTCTCTTAGTACTGGCAGGCAGCAGATCCAAGGTTTTGCCTTGTAGGTCAAGGCAGCCTTTGGCCTAAGTTTCAGACCACTGGAGTTGTTATCACAGCAATATACTGGAACAACCAACAAGAAATCCAAGTGTCCATAAAGGAAGCGGGCGTGAACAGAGCACTTTGAGAACCAGGGCACTGCAACGATGACTGTGTCTTTTTTGAGTTCTAAAATTTGTCTCTAAAGCATTCCATTTGCATGTCAGCTTGTAAAACACTCATACAATAAAATAAAAAAAGAAAATCACAATGCAGAAGTTCCTGCATTGAAGCTAAGAAACTGCAGGGAAAAAATGTGAATATGTGAATATGAAGAGGATATTATTGCTGAAAAGATAAGGAATATAAGGATAATAAAGTGCTACTGAGGACATGGAGTGAGATTTCAAGGTAGCAAGGTAAAACAACTATGTACTTCAAACAGACAAGTAACAGTGCTAAAATGTACTTGCAGAAAGTAACCTGCTGTGCAGAAATATTCTTAACTTGACTAATTTTTGTGAAACATTTTATTTTAATTTAATTACAGAATTTTAATTTAATTACAGATGCAAAAGAAGTAAAAACTTCTGAAAGATGTGCATCTCAAACTAGTTCCTCAGAAATATATTACAGAACGTCTCCTTTAGAGACAATCATGGAAATCTCAGATAAAGTACAGTATTATCAGATGGCCGAAATGATAGGTATTGAGTGCAGCTGTGAAGAAAATGGACTTCTGAGTCTAAAATCAGGAAAATTCATTTGAATTCTGCAAAGAGCTGAAGAGAGTTTCAGTCCACCCTCATGATCTCACCTGTTGAGTCTATAAGACTTTGTGAAACTACGTATTTTAATAGCTTAGGTTCTTCATGGACTCCACTACTGCAACTCCAGCTTGATCGTTTTCATTCTAGTTCAGATTCCTTGACTGTCTTTGCAAGGGAAATATTACTTGCTTTCGCTTAAAAGTGTCACTTCAGATGAAGGTCATTTAGGTGAGGCACAATTTGCAATTAAAGGATAAGCAGGCATCTCATTTTGCTAGGCCACAATTTCTTAGTTGAAAAGGTCAAAGACCAGTGTTCCCATTGGGTGGGAAAATTCTGTTTGTCCTTCATCTCTAGTACAGATTATCGTTCTCATTATAGGCTTTGATTTTGCTCTCAAGTCAATAATCTTGACGTGATCTTGGACTTCTAAAATTTTATTTTCCTCCAAAACCCTCTCTTGGTCTGAATTTCCCCTGTCACAAACTTCAGAAAGTTAATTAAACAACTTCTACATCTGTTTGCTTACTGTAACCCTACACTATTAATGTCTTCTAAACTCCTTCTGGAATCCTTGCCTCAATGGATTGAGACTGCTGAAAGGAGACAGTTTTATCTGTACAGGAAGAGTTTTTCTTTTTTTTATCCATGGTGAACAGCACACAATTGCTTTCCTCAACATGGTGTGTGAGAAAAGGCAAGGAATTTTCCAAATACATAGTATTGCCTAAGTTCTTCGGATTATGAATGTATAGTGTCTTTCAAGACATTCCATATTTATTTGACCAGAAAAAATGACTCCAATTCAATAAACAGCATCTAGGATGTTCATAGGGTGGTAAAGGGGAATCTGGATTTTGCTCTTATCACTAAAAATTTCAAACTTTTATCCATAAAAACATAAGAACTGCGCCGAATCAGGCCACATATTAATGTAGCCCAATAGTTTACTCCCAATAGTGACAACTGTCAAAGTAAGCTTA